TCAGTTCGCGGACGCTACGGTCCCGCAAGCGAAGCCGACAAGAAGACGATGACGGGTACACACCGTCCGCGTCTACCAAGATCATCACGGTACCCAGCAGCATCTTGATAGTTCCTCAGACGAAGATGGCAGCGACAGTTTGGCGCCAACACCCCTCTTCCCCTGGCTTTGACTTGGTCGACATTGCTTTTCGACCGTGGAAGAGTTCGAGGACACGGAAATGGTTTCTTGGAACGATCGGCGACGGGATAGCGGGCCCATCAACTTCGACGCCAACATGTCGACAATGCGCATGCCCTTTTCCTATCAGCACCCACGAGGGACAAGGAGAAGTGTGGTAGACATGGTGGTGACCACCGACTCAGCAGGATTCGCGTCAGATGAGTGGTCTGTCATTGCAGACGCATCCATGATCCCAACCTTCGGACCGAGCGATGTCATGAAGCAACCGATTCATCAGGCCATCGTTAGGAGTTTTGTCTCTAGGTGCAGGGCAGCCAAGCGGAGAATGATGACTTCTCGACGGCACGTATCATGTCGACACAGCTCGACGGACATGACTGCTGGCCAGCGTGCCTCGATTGGTGCGGTACACTGATGATGGGAAGGGGGGGTGTGGGGGTCCCCCAGGGTGATGAAATGAGCTCTGGGACGGTGGCATGTGTGGATTGTAAAGATGCAAATGCTGCGGCGGCCAATTGATGAAAAACACCAGGTGTGGGTCAAGATAATGGCCTCGAGGGAGATGTACCACTTTTCTTTTTTTTCTTTCTTTTTTTTTTTTTTTTTTTTTTTCCTTTTTTCCTTTTCTTTTCCTCCTTTCCAGGATAGAGAACTGCATACGACATGGAGTATGTAGCAGGTAACACCATGCTGCTATGAAGGAATTGTCTTGTCGACTCCACTACTTTACAGCAAACGATGTCCCAAAAACTGACAATTGAATCACTTCGTCATATCTGTACATTCTATATCCATCTCATGAGCCTCATTCGCTGGACTCACTTCGTGGTTTCGTAAAGTGTTTTGACAGCATCACCAGTTGCCCTTTCATGATCAACTTGTAAAGGAGGGCATATTGGTCAGTGTCGGAACACAAGAAGGTCGAAACTGAGCCTACAGAGCCCCCAGACACCAAGCCCGAAGGTGGTCCTGGCACTGTTTCAACCAGACGGAACTAAGGCCACAGATTCCATAGCCCAGGATCTTTCAGTTGGACATACTGTTAACAGCCCACGAAAGCTCGTTTACAGTAGAATGGAGCCGGAGACTCGGCTCAAGCTCCGAATGACCGGTTTTCAAACCAGAAATCTACAAAACCAAGGGGCCACAGATAACAACGTAGATAGCCAGGAGGCCGAGGACCGAAGTCTCAGAGTGGGAAGCCAAAGACCGGGAGGTTGAAGATCAGGATACTCAAAAGCCATGAAACTGAAAAGCCAAACGCCTTGGAGAATGATACCAAGCCAACACGAAGAACCTGGCCGGAGCGTTAAGGAGAACCGGTTGGATTTGGAGGGTTGGAGTCGAGTGTTCCTCGAAATAGTCCCCAGGAATCTCTACTCTAACCAGCCCAGCAGTTTTCAAGTAATAATAAAAGCATCTTCATCGCACTGGAATGAGACAATCTCCGAACCGGCCAGAACAGTTTCAGTTTAGAGCCTGCCTGGCTTTGGAATGTCACGCCTCCAACTGGTAAGGACATTCGCAACTACAGCCTCGACTGGACATCTGGCCTTCTCTTCCGTTTAACTAATTACGAATACGCTAACATTATTGTTCTATCATCATCGTCTGTCCTCGATAAAGTCTGGGGTATCGCTACTGTATACACTAGAACCTTGATCCATTCCATCCTGAGAACACCTTACATTCATGATCAATACAACCACCAGGAAGAATCACATTTGCTCAGGCACTTGCTTCATGCATATGCTTCCCATTCCGCGTGCCTCGAACTGGAAATCAGTCCATTCAAATGAGGACTTTGTAATCCATCAGAATGTATGTATGTACAGTAGTACTTTTCCCCCTTGCTGCCGTCAGGAACCCTCCCACGACATGCGTTCATTGCCTCCTAGTGGATCACCGTTTTTGTTGTTTTCTCTTTCGCTAAAGCCGTTTCTTCATATCGACCACACAATAACTGACATGCATCTTCTCTCCTTGCATCATTCACACCATGCACCGAGCTTGATTGTGCGCAGGATCCGATATCTGGAGAGAGCAGCAACAGCAACAGAACAGTAATGATAACTTCCGTGCCGAACCATGGGGGGTAAACAATGAGAAACCGCAACCTAACCATACCTTTGAGGCCCCCTCTGCACGAAGGAACATGAAATAAAGAGATACCTCTACGCCTCTCTCCCTGATTTCCCTTGACACCTGGCGCCACCGCAAAGAAAAGTTTGAGCGTGTAAATAAGGAGCAGTGCAAAACAAAAACCTGCCATGCCGGAAAGATGAAGGAAAAACAAAAGCCAGCCGGTCGGCGCGGACCAGGTGATTGCCCTCGCCGCGTTTCCTAGAACCGGCTCCCTGTGCATCAAGCAGGTAATAGGATGCTTTTTTTGGTGAGAATAGGAAAATTGGACGAACGCGGTCTCCATTGGGTTCAGAGACAAAAGGCATACCGTCATCTATAACTTCATGATATGTCGTCAAGCGCTAGCGAGATCCAACCGCGTCGTAGCCTCTTTTGAGAACATTGCATGGGCCAGAACCCAAATGCTAGCCCGTGGACGCAGATGCACCCAAAAAAGCTTAAGGCAGCTGGTCAACGGGGCGGTCCTTGAGCTTGTCAAGGGAGATCTCGGCGTCAACAACGCCATAGAGAACGGCGTTCTTCTTGGCCCACTGCCGAGTAAGGATGGAGGCTAAGAAGATGTCAGAATAAGATTACGAGACAAGCAAGGCCGGTTAGTTGACATACCTTTGAGGAACTTCTTGCTGGCATACTTCTTGAAGAATGCTTCATGAATAACGGGACGGGCCAAATAGTCCACCATGAGATGGAATACAGGCTCGATCTCCTCCTCGGTATAGCCAGCATAGTAGGCGATAGTCTCGTCCTGTGATCATGAGTGTTAGCTACAGGATGATATGGCGAGTATTAGAAATCCATCTATATAACTTACCCATTCTCCGCGACCCAGGATCAATCGTGCCAAGTACATAGCAGCAGCAGCGACATGGCTGGGGCGGTAAGGCATGAAGCGATGGTCCAGCAAGCTGATCTCCATCAGGTACTTGCCAAGGGTACGGGACTGGATATCGTAGTTGTCTGCCTTGGAGATGCGGCGGAGAAAGTTCATAGGGTTGGGGTAGCTAAGGTCGTAGTTGAGGGTCGATAGAATGAAACGCTCAGCACTGAGAATCTCAGCTTCAGTAAAGCCGTCATCTGCAACGTGGCGAAAATTGGCAATGTGGGGGGAGAGGACCTCCTCGTACTTGGAGGCAACAAACATTGCGGTGATACCCACGAGCTGAAGACGATCGAGCTGCACGACCTTTTCGCTCAAAAAACGATCGATGATGTTGACGGCAAGGAACAGCGTCTCGGGCAGCAAGTGAAACCGAGTATGAACTTCAATGAGCCAGTCGATGAGAATGCCACGAGTCTTCCACTCGAGGTCGTCCTGGTGGCTCATGTACTGAGGGTTCGGCACTGATTTGCACTCGAGGTCGCGAAGGTACTCGAAAATTTCCGTCGCATACTCGGCAACCATAAGAGGATCCTCGAGGTCTTCAGTGTCAAGGTCCTTAACACCTGGCGGATACACTGGCTGAACAGGGACGACATCGCGGACGACGGGAGCGGGGGGCTCGGCTATCGGCTTCGCAGCCTTGGAAGGAGCATCGTTCTCCTTGACCTCAGTCTTGAGAACCTTCTTCTTCTCGGGCTCTTCGACGTGGATCTTCTTGCGGGCCGGTTCACTTTCAACGGGTGCTGATTCCTTGGTAGGGGCGAGCTTGGATGTGGACGGAGGGGGCTTGCGCTTGGCGGGAATGGTGCCAGCACCAGCACTGGGGCCGACCGTCTTGTTGGGCTCTTTGTTGGATAACGCTCGGCGGGCAGTAGTCGCAGTACGGCTCGTAGCCGTCGTGGTCTTCTTCTGGATGCCACTCGGCTGGGCCGCCTTCGAAACTAGGCCGGGCTTCGCAATCGCTTTCTTCGTTCCCGCAACTTCGACCTTGGTGACATTGCTGACGTCGCCCAGTGCATTCCGCTTACCGACAGTGCGAGCGGCAGTGGCGGCGGTGGTTGTCGAAGTCGTCGTCTTTTTGGTCTGCATGGTTTTCGCGGGCATGGACAATTCGTCGACATGGAGAGTGGCCGCCTTGGCCCTCGTCATACGTGTCGTGGTTGCTGTACTGTTCTCGTCATTTTCGTTCGCGAGTGAACGCGGGTTCCTCGTCCGCTGCAGGGTTGGGGTT